CAATCGCTCTACACCGACAATTATCAACAGCAAGTGAACAACAAGCCCCCCGGTTATAGGATTTGGTCCGCCGTTGGTTTCGGAGGTGCCCTCGTCTCTTTCATCCAGATTGCAGCTACTATCTGTGAATGGATGTACGTGCCTAGGCGCTGGGCAGGTGCTCAGCACCTCACCAAGCGACTGATGTTTCTACTCCTGGTTTTCGTCATCAATCTGGCCCCTGGTGTGTTTGTCTTCGCCTACAGCAAGAGCATGGGCATCAGCAAAACCATCCCTTTGATTATCGGTATTGTCCACTTTTTCGTCGCGCTGGCAACTTTCGTCTTCTTCTCTGTCATGCCGCTTGGTGGGCTTTTCGGCAGTTACCTCAAGAAGCATGGCCGTCAGTACGTGGCTAGCCAGACATTCACCGCAAGCTTCCCACGGCTGCACGGCAACGATATGTGGATGTCCTACGGCCTATGGGTCTGCGTCTTCGGTGCTAAATTGGCGGAATCGTACTTCTTCCTGACCCTGTCTTTCAAGGACCCGATCCGAATTCTCTCACCCATGCAGATACATCAGTGTGCGGGTGTGAAATACATTGGGAATGTTCTGTGCCACAAACAGCCCCAGATTCTTCTCGGCTTGATGTTCTTCATGGACTTGACGCTCTTCTTCTTGGACAGTTATCTTTGGTACATTATTTGCAACACTGTCTTCTCTGTTGCAAGGTCATTCTACCTGGGTGTGTCGATCTGGTCGCCCTGGAGAAATATCTTCTCCCGACTGCCCAAGCGTATTTACTCGAAGGTTCTCGCCACCACCGACATGGAAATCAAGTACAAACCTAAGGTATTGATTTCTCAAGTCTGGAATGCCATCATCATCTCAATGTACCGGGAGCATCTGCTGGCCATAGACCATGTTCAGAAACTCCTCTACCACCAGGTTCCGTCTGAGCAAGAAGGCAAACGGACCCTGCGTGCGCCCACTTTCTTTGTGTCCCAAGAGGATCAATCTTTCAAGACTGAGTTCTTCCCGCCTGGTAGTGAAGCTGAGCGTAGGATTTCGTTCTTCGCGCAATCACTCTCTACCCCCATGCCCGAGCCCCTTCCTGTGGACAATATGCCTACATTCACCGTTTTGATCCCCCACTATAGCGAGAAAATCCTTCTCTCCCTGCGTGAGATTATCCGCGAGGATGAGCCTTACTCTCGTGTGACGCTGCTGGAATACCTCAAACAACTTCATCCTCACGAGTGGGACTGCTTCGTCAAAGACACCAAGATTCTGGCCGATGAAACCTCCCAGTTCAATGGCGAACCTGAGAAGAGTGAGAAGGATGTTGCAAAGAGCAAGATTGATGACCTTCCTTTCTATTGCATTGGTTTCAAGTCCGCTGCTCCAGAGTACACCCTTCGGACTCGTATTTGGTCCTCATTGCGTTCACAGACTCTCTACCGCACCGTTTCCGGGTTCATGAATTACAGCAGGGCGATCAAGCTCTTGTACCGGGTTGAAAATCCAGAGGTCGTGCAGATGTTCGGTGGCAATTCGGAGAAGCTCGAACGAGAACTTGAGAGGATGGCGCGCCGCAAGTTCAAGATCGTCGTTTCTATGCAACGCTACGCCAAGTTTAATAAGGAAGAGCGTGAGAATACCGAGTTCCTTCTCAGGGCTTACCCTGATCTCCAAATCGCCTACCTGGATGAGGAACCCCCGGTCAATGAAGGTGAAGAGCCCCGTCTGTACTCTGCCCTTATTGACGGACACTGCGAGCTGTTGGAGAACGGTATGCGGAAGCCGAAGTTTAGGATTCAGCTTTCTGGAAACCCAATTTTGGGAGATGGGAAGTCTGACAACCAGAATCACTCAATCATCTTCTACCGTGGCGAGTATATCCAAGTGATCGATGCCAATCAGGACAACTACCTCGAAGAGTGTCTCAAGATCCGTAGTGTCCTCGCCGAGTTCGAGGAATTGACTACTGACAACGTCTCGCCCTACACGCCCGGCATTCCCTCTACGAACACCAACCCCGTGGCCATTCTTGGTGCCCGTGAATACATTTTCTCCGAGAATATCGGCGTGCTCGGTGACGTCGCGGCTGGGAAAGAACAGACTTTCGGTACCCTTTTCGCTCGTACGCTGGCTCAGATCGGTGGTAAGCTTCACTATGGACACCCCGATTTCCTGAACGGCATCTTCATGACAACTCGTGGCGGTATCTCGAAAGCTCAAAAAGGTCTGCATCTGAACGAGGATATCTATGCCGGTATGAATGCCATGATCCGTGGTGGTCGCATCAAGCACTGCGAGTACTACCAATGTGGTAAAGGTCGTGATCTCGGTTTTGGCTCCATTTTGAACTTCACAACCAAGATCGGTACGGGTATGGGCGAACAGATGTTGTCCAGAGAGTACTACTATCTCGGCACTCAACTGCCTCTCGACCGCTTCCTGTCATTTTACTATGCTCACCCTGGCTTCCACATTAACAACATGTTCATCATGTTGTCGGTGCAGATGTTCATGATTGTCCTAATCAACCTGGGAGCTCTGAAGCACGAGACCATCACTTGCCGTTACAACCCTGACTTGCCGATCACGGATCCTCTTCGACCCACTTACTGTGCCAATCTCACCCCGATCGTCGACTGGGTCAACCGTTGTATCATCTCAATCTTCATCGTCTTTTTCATCTCTTTCGTCCCACTGGCTGTCCAGGAACTGACAGAGAGGGGAGTATGGCGGATGGCCATGCGTCTAGCCAAACACTTCGGTTCTGTCTCCTTCATGTTTGAGGTGTTTGTCTGCCAGATCTATGCCAACGCTGTCCACCAGAACCTTTCTTTCGGCGGTGCGCGATATATCGGTACTGGTCGTGGTTTTGCCACGGCCCGCATTCCCTTTGGTGTCTTATACTCGCGTTTTGCAGGTCCATCCATCTACGCTGGCGCGCGTTCGCTGCTTATGCTTCTGTTCGCGACGTCCACCGTCTGGACGGCGGCTCTCATTTGGTTCTGGGTCTCTCTGCTTGCCCTCTGCATCTCGCCGTTCTTGTTCAACCCCCACCAGTTCGCCTGGAATGATTTCTTCATTGATTACCGCGATTATCTCAGGTGGCTTTCACGCGGTAATTCGCGCTCACACGCTTCTTCTTGGATCGGATTCTGTCGTCTCTCTCGTACTCGGATCACTGGTTACAAGCGCAAGCTTCTGGGTGTGCCATCCGAAAAGGGCTCCGGCGATGTTCCTAGGGCTCGTATCACCAACATTTTCTTCAGCGAGATTATTGCACCCCTGGTACTTGTTGCCGTGACGCTGGTTCCCTATCTCTACATCAACTCCAGGACTGGAGTACGTGATAACCCGGAACCTACGGATGCCATCATGCGAATCGCCATTGTTGCCGCTGGACCAATCGCCATCAACGCAGGTGTTGCTGGTGCTTTCTTCGGCATGGCCTGCTGTATGGGACCCATCTTCAGCATGTGCTGCAAGAAATTCGGTGCTGTTCTCGCTGCCATTGCGCACGCTATAGCTGTCATTATACTGCTCGCCATCTTCGAAGTCATGTTCTTCCTTGAATCCTGGTCCTGGCCGAGAATGCTCATTGGCATGATTGCAGCAGCGGCCATTCAGCGTTTCATCTACAAGCTCATCATTGCCCTTGCATTGACCCGCGAGTTCAAGCATGACCAGTCTAATATCGCATGGTGGACCGGCAAGTGGTACAACATGGGTTGGCACTCGATGTCACAACCCGGCCGTGAGTTCCTGTGCAAGATTACAGAGTTGGGTTACTTCTCTGCAGACTTCGTTTTGGGTCACATACTCTTGTTCGCTATGCTGCCCGCCCTCTGCGTCCCATTCATTGACAAATTCCACTCGGTCATGCTCTTCTGGCTGCGGCCAAGGTAAGGAACACTTCTCACCACGATATTTGATCGTACCTTGTCTAACACTCCTCTAGTCGCCAAATCCGCCCTCCAATCTACTCACTGAAGCAATCGAAGCTCAGGAAGAGAAGAGTCATCCGCTTCGCTATTCTCTACTTCGCGATGCTCATTCTGTTCCTTGTCCTTCTCATTGCTCCACTTGTTGTTCGCTCCATGGGACTGGTTAAAGCTCCCAATCTTCCATTCAACTTGCTCCAGCCTCTTGATAAGGACAACAACGACACTATGGTGACATACACCGGCAACAATATTCCCGCTGGATTTGAGCCAGTCGAGAGCGCCTCGAGCGTGGCTACTGCAACGAGCTAGAAAGCGCTGTAATTTTCTTTTAATTCTCGACTCTCTCTGTTTGCCTGTTTCCAGATATTTTGCAGAAATGGCATCATGAACACGAGCTGTATAAAGTATCCAGCGCCTCGAAGTCGCTGCTGAGCCGCATAAAGTCGTTGTTTTTCATTGTTCAATTTGTTTACTGTCTAGTTGTTTTCGAGGGCCCTGAATTCAATACAGAGGATTCATCATCAACTGCATTATCAAGGTTACTAGTACTCTGATCCTAGGCATCATGCATGGTATTCATTTGGCAATCCACACGACCTTGAGATCGTTCGTTCTCGGGGGTCCAGGACATCGCTGCTCCGTATTACATTGCGGGTTACAATGACAGCCTCATGTGGGGATCATCGCGAAGGATAACAACAGGAATATCAGTCTGGTACTTCAAGATACATTATATGGGTCTCGGCATCTGGATGGAAATAGGACTTTAGTATCTATACTTCGTAGTGTCTGTCATTTGTGTCGTTGTTGCCTGAGAAAGAAACCCTTTTAGGCACGTCACGTGCGCAACATTGTTTCGCCGATCGTCCTGTCCTGACTCTGGATACCCCAAACCGAGGGCTCATCTTTCGTTGCGTTTCCCCAGATAGTCCCTCGTCTGCCGGTTGTATTATTATTGCTCGCTGAAACTGCCCGTGAATGATTACATCAATCTACGTTTCCTGAAGCTCAAACTTTGGCCTTGCGCCCCCAAAGGCCGCGTTCTTTCCATTCACCATGGATATCCAGGAGACCCAACGTCTTCTTTCGGAATACCTCCATGAGCTCGCAAATCTATTTCACCGTCTACCAGGATCTGCAATTTTCCTGCGGTACGTGAAATCGAGCTATCAGAATGATCCGATCCGATCCGCCGTCGAATTGTTCCTTTTCCTATTCGCAGTTCGCTATCTGCTCGCACCAAAGTACTCAACGAAACCCGGAGTCGTCAAACTTTCCGAGGATGAGATTGATGACCTCGTGGACGAATGGACGCCGGAGCCTCTTGTGGGACAGCCCACAGCTCTGGAGGAAATGGAGGTCGAGAAGCGGACGGTCATTGTTGGGTATGCTCATTCTCATTTCAATGTTACTGCGATGCTGATGCTGATGTTTGATGGCATACAGTCCGATCGGGCCCAAGTCCAAACTGTCTAACGGTCGCACGGTGATGAATCTTGGTTCTTTCAACTTCTATAACTTTAATACAAATGAGGGTCTCAAGGAAAAAGCAATCCAGACGCTCCGCAATTATGGAGTTGGCCCCTGTGGTCCCCGAGGATTTTACGGCACACAAGACGTACACATGAAGACCGAAGCAGATGTTGCTGCCTATCTCGGCACAGCGGCTTGCATCATCTACTCCCAGGCATTCTCTACCATATCGAGTGTCATCCCCGCATTTTCGAAACGTGGAGATATCATTGTTGCCGACAAGGGTGTCAATTTTGCCATTCGCAAGGGTATTCAGATTTCGCGCAGCATGGTCCGGTGGTATGAGCATAATGATATGGAAGACTTGGAAAGAGTTCTTGCGAAGATCACTAAAGAGCAAGCGAGAAAGCCCCTCACGAGAAGGTTCATCATCACCGAGGGCCTTTTCGAATCGTATGGTGACATGGTCGATCTTCCCAAAATCGTACGTGATTCTTCCCCCCCCCCCCCCCCACCCGCTCCGAGAATGTATGGCACGGTCTGACACACAGGCAAGATTGAACTGAAACTCAAGTACAAATTCCGACTCATCCTTGACGAAACTTGGTCATTTGGCGTCTTGGGAAGGACCGGCCGAGGTGTCACTGAGCACCAAAACGTCGATGCGGCAGAAGTTGATATGATTGTGGGCTCGCTGGCCGGCCCACTCGTCGCTGGAGGCGGTTTCTGTGCTGGTTCTGAGGAAATTGTCCATCATCAACGCATCTCTGCCGCCGCATATACATTCTCAGCGGCATTGCCTGCCCTTCTATCGACGACAGCCAGTGCAACGATCAACTTGCTCCAGAATGGCCCTGAAGTAGTATCGCAGCTCAGGGAGCATACCAAAGCTATGTGGGCACAGTTGGATCCTCGCAGTGATTGGGTGTATTGTACCAGCGCTCCTGAGAATCCTGTCATGATCCTTGTTTTCAAACCCGATGTGGTGGCCGCGAAGAGACTTACTGCGGAAGACCAGCAGTTCTTACTGCAGGATGTGGTTGACGAGGTATGCAATCTCGGATCTGAGCGCTTCCAAGTTGTCATGGGAGTTCAATGAGAACTGACTTTCTGCTAGTGCCTTGCGAATGGTGTCCTTATCAGCCGTCTCAAGTCTCTGGATGATAACTTTGAGCCGAAGCAAATTGTTCCTCCAGCGCTCAAGGTGTGTGTCACCATCGGCTTGACGAGAAAGGAAATCGAAAAGGCCGGAACGATAATTCGCCATGCTATCACCAAGGTGGTGAGCAAGAGAAAGTAGATCACTTCTTCGCCCGGATCTCTTTCTCAAGGGGCTCAATCCGAAACGCTTATGCTGTCATGACCTCGTTTGCTTCGTAATTGACCTACATCGCCGTGACTTTTCGGTTGTCTTTCTCCTGACTTGCGACACTCCTACTCTAAACTTTGAGTACCAATACACCATCATGACGAATGCGTGCAGCAGCCATCGACTTCATTTTGGTGAAGAGTGTTTGGAGTAAGTTTGGCCATCTTCCCGTCAACCATATGTGAGGGGAACGGGCATAATGACACTTCTGCTGTATGGGAGACCGCTTTCTCAATTGTTTTAATTAGGCCTTGCTGTGTATTCACCTCTTTAGCATTATTAGATATGCTTTTAATACAAGGGAACAAAATGGTATCCTCTCAATATGGATAGATCCTGATAGTTCAAGAAAAGGAGAATATTAAGAAGTAGACCGTGTCAAAGCCGCTAATTCAGGCAGGATTGATGATTTAAGATGGGGAAAAGAAATTGCCTACAGTAATCCGTGTTCAACTGAGATTTTACGCCGAAGCCTCTATCGATTGCACTCATTCAAGACCTCACCCTTGATATCCAATGTCTCGACCTTCCGCCCTTCATGTTCACTTCAAACCACCTATCCTGTTATGGGCGAGGACCTAAGGTCGGGTTCGGTCCAATACCTTTGGACACCTTGGCGAGAGCAAAGTTTTTGGCATTTTGCTGTCTCAGGCTTGACTCGGTAGGTCCAAAATTCGATACAGAGGATTGGACTAACTAGCATCATACCTTACTGATGGCAGTCAAGTGTACCCAAGACAATGATACAGATGGGAGTTTTAGTCGCATCCTAAGTCAGTCGGATGGATGCCTCAGGATCATAATGAAACCTCCATTGCACGACCTGGTTATAATTATTCCTTCTTAGCCTTCTTGACATCACTAAGAGTAAACGAATAATTGCACAGCTGTATCCATTGAGCTAACCCCTGAACGTTTTGGTGATCAAAATGTTATGACGTTTATCTATGCCGCCGTGTTGGTCACAGAATGAGTGTCGAAGGGTTAAGCCAGGAAGTCTCCCTTGATACTGGTTGAGACAAGAGGACTACTTTCCGTGTTCTCCAAGGGCTGCGACAACCGTACTAGTAAGTAGAATCAAGGTGGAACATGTCAGTCATGCTATACTGTCTTCCAGTTAGAGGGATACAGCCCCCGAGGAACATGCTATCAATCCGGGTCCTAGCACATTCTTTTGTATGAGAGGTTTGGCAAGGTATGGGCCCTGCATTCCACAGGGAGCAAGTGAAGTACTGGTAGTTAAGAGCATGAATTCACAGGCTACTGAATTCATGATGAATTTCACCTCTAGAGATCTAGAGTAAGTGGACATTAATTCACTACGCTTCTGATGGTGCTATCACTGACTCTTTGACAGTGAATGTACATCTATAGCTGGGGTATTTAAGCCCACAGTCCGGGCCTGGCCTCACAATCTCTACTCCTTCATTAGTCTGACTAGATCCTTCTGCTCGGTTCTACTGTTTCTCAAACTTTGCTCAGAAGATTTCAACGTGAGGACTGTGATTGACCGTCGCAATGAGATTCAAGGTCAACCTTATGGCCCTGCTGTTGGCCTACCAGTCCGCAGCGCACCCTCATGGTAAGATATTTTCAAAGCAACACACCTTTGAGTGTCGAAGACATCGCTGACTAGTAGATACCTTCTAGTTGGCCACCGTCGCAATGCCGAGCACGATATCAATCCCAAGGAGCAAGTCATCGTTTGGGTCGATCACGCTGGACACACGATCAGTATTGAGCATAAGCATCAAACCCCTACTACGACCTTCAAGAACGTACGTGTTATTTGCAATTGATCAATGTATGACCTGCCTGAATATACAACTGACACAGAGACAGTCGCCCACGGAGCTGCCTCTGCTCCCAAACACCGACAATATCATCACCGACAATCTCCTCCCCAAGCTCCCCGTCGCAGTGCCTGAGCTGAACACAAACCCGGACTCCCGCTTCGGCATCTCCTACTCGCCTTACACCAGCTACGGCACCTGCAAGACCTTCGACCAGATAAACCAGGACATTGAGCACCTGCGCCATCACGCCTTCATCCGCATCTACGGCATCGACTGCGACCAAACCAAGCTCGTCACCCAAGCAGCCAGACAGCACGGCCTAAAAGTCTTCGCAGGGGTCTTCGACCTCCAAAACTTCCCCGACAGCCTGCACTACATCCGCGACGCCGCCACCGCCACAGGCGGCGACTGGTCCATCTTCCACACCATCGCCATCGGCAACGAGCTCGTCAACAAGGGCCAGAATAACCCAGCCGACGTCGCCAACGCCGTCAACACTGCCCGCGACATCCTCCGCGGCGCAGGCTACCAGGGCCCCGTGGTCACAGTCGACACCTTCTCCGTGATGCTGCAGCACCCGGAACTCTGCGCCGCGTCCGACTACTGCGCCGCCAACTGCCACGCCTTCTTCGATAACAACCAGCTCCCCGAAACCGCGGGGGAGTACGCGATCGACAAGGCGCGCCGCATCTCCGCTGCGGCGGGCGGGAAGAAAACGGTCATCACGGAGTCGGGGTGGCCTCATGCGGGCCAGCGGAATGGGCGCGCGGTGCCGTCGCCGGAGAACCAGAAGAAGGCCATTGCGAGTCTGAGGAAGGCGTTTGCGGACGATCCGGACTTAGTCCTCTTCACTGCGTTTGATGACTTGTGGAAGTCGGATAATCAGTGGACGTTTGGCGCGGAGCGGTTCTGGGGGATTCAGGATACGGGGCGAGAGCGAGAGCGTGAGCGTGAGCGGGATCGGGAGTAAGGGAAGGGCTTCCAGCGTTCTGCGCTGCTTTGCTCTTGTGGAGGTTAGCTGATGGCGTTCTATCTGCGTTGCACTGCATGGCACCTTGCATGGCTTTGCGTAGCGTTGCATGCGCATAGCGTGGGGGTTGGGTATTGACTTGATGAGTTCACGGTCCAATCTGATTGATGCTTTGGCTTGCGATTATGATGCTTCTCTCCTTTCTTGTCATGTACATTTCGGGTACATACTGAATAGCAGAGTCATATGAGTTATGGAATTCTAAATTGAATCGTACTGATCGTGGAATCTTGGCTAGCCCAGACGGCAGCCTCCTGCTTAATGGGTATGTGTAAGGATAACAAAAACAAAAAGGTATCTCTGTGCACTGACACGCGATGCAAAAGAGTATGCTTTGTACGTAGATTCGTTGCTCGAAATGATTAAGACTCCAGCGACACCTTTTGAACCGCCTCCTCCACGCTCACTGTCCCACAGTTCGATTCGGCCGTCGACTCGGGCAAGATTTCACCGTTCATTGGCAAATCCTTCCCGGACCTGTCCGCGGAGTCACCATGTGCGTGCCTTCCTCTCGCCCAGCGGCGCGCCTTCGGCGGCTCAGGTTTCTGGCCGTGTTTGCCGACAGAGGGGACGTTCAGAGGACTGCTGTTTAGAGGGCTGCAGCTGCCGGAGAGAGGATGCGCCTGAACGGCCGGGTGAGTCGAACGTCGAGGGGGTGGCAGGGCTGGAGGAGGATTCGATGCGGAGCGACGTAAGTGTGCAGGGACTGGTGGAGCGAGACCAGGCATGCTTGTAGAGTTTCCGCAATCGACTGGAGGAGTGACAGATGTGGAAGCCATGACTGGACTCGATGCTGCTGATGCTGCGTCCTCGGGGGTTTTATCGGCATTGTCTTCCTCCTCGGCGATGCGTCTCCCGCGCCGGCGTCGGGATTTGGGGGGCTCCGGCTTAACTTTAGGTTTGATGGTCGCCCTGATAGCGTCCGTAGTTGAAGGATTCCCTGTGGGATGGGCGTCATTGCGACTAGGGGTGATGACGCCGGGTTTCTCGTGCTGGCTGGCAACTTCCTGCACGCTGATAGTCGAGCATGAAGCTGGCTCCAGGTGCATTCCGAGGCGCTGCACCGCGCTCGGCTTGCGATGCGCGTCTGGCTTGGGAGAGTCCGATCCACCAAGCCGGGTGGGTGATAGAGCCCCAGTCGAACTGCCTTCCGTGCTGGTGGGAGTACCAGACTCGGCGTCCGTCTGGACGGCATCGGTCGTGGAGTCAAACGAGGCAACGCTCTCTCTATGTGACTTAGATTCCTCGTTTCGCAACCACTCGACTGTTGCGCATCGGAGGACTAATCTCCTCGTGGTTTCGTCGACTTCCTCAAAGTGCAATATTCTCTCGAGGTCGCCCTCACCGCTTGATAGCTGGCCCCGGCCCAAGATATTGAGCACTTTCTTGAGTTCTTCGCGCTTGTAGTGGGGAGGATACTTCAGCTGCGTGTGAGCGAGCAATGGGTAGAGAACGCGGAGGTATGTATGTCGTAGGGCGGATGCCTCTTCAGGCAAGTCCAGAAGATTCCGAATAAGAATGTCAACCAGGACATGAAGATCATTGGTGTAGAAGTATTCATAGGTGCTAGGGGTTGTAAATATGAGGTATAGGAGCTTGAGCGTGAGAAGCTGAAGAGATGTTTCCGCTAGGAGTCGTTAGGAAATTTGTCTTGCCAGAGGAGAATCTCGGAAGTTGGTACCTTCTCTGTTGATGAGGAGAATGATGTTCTCGCCGAATGTCTTGTAGAGATTCCCATGCATGGCCAAGACCTTGATGACCTTGTTGGTCAAGGGAGTCGACGATTTATCGTCCACAGGATCATGCGCTGAAATCATGAACTGCTCGTTGAAAACCAACTACCGTTCGGTCAGTAACATACATCAACCCTGCGAGGCCAGATCAAGCGGATTCTCACCAAAACGCGAATCACAGGATAATGGTAAGGGTCGCTGGCATCGTAGGAGAGATCTTCGATAATCCCAAAAAGGCCCTTGATAAAATCATCGTCGACAAGTACTACCCAGAATGCGTTGCCTATTAGCCCATTACTCCAAACAGCCAAGTCACCTGGAACACTCACCAAGATCCTCAATCCTTATCCGCTGGATTCTCGACATTTCATACAGCAAGTCCATCAGCATGCGATGAAGCGCAGCCTGATTCTCCCCATCCTTTATTTTGTAGATTTGCAAGAGCTCCAGCAACCGCGGGAATGAACCCTCCTCATTCATCATCCGAAAGGACTCCTCATGCTGCCGGCCATCGAACAGAAGGAACGAAACGATCAGATGTAGCGTGTCCGGATCATCCTCCTGTACAGCACCGTAAACCGTCAGCGGGCTCAATTGCAAGACAGATCAAAGGGACATGAAGCCCTTGAAAGAACGGAAATCATCCAGCGCAGACCTGCAATAAGCCATATATCATCTGTCTTCGAACGTAGTCGGCATGGGCGGTAAAGATACTTGATGCGAGTAATTTATACGAGCAGCGCGAGACCTCGAACGGCGAGTTGAGGTATTCATCTGCGATTGACAAAGTCCAGTCAGCCCTGCATCAGATCGGAGAAAACATGGAAGCTCGTTTCCAACCATGCTGCCATCAAGATCAAAGAACAATCTCCCACCTTTGTACTTCGTAGCCAAACTCAAATAAGACCGGAGCGCATTATCGATGAGGTCCTCGGTGCTGCAAGGAGTGGAAACAATCTCTTGGAGTTCTACCAAACAAACACGTTAGATATGACCGAACAATTCCCTGCGATAAGAAGAACAAAGTAAAGCATGAGGAAATAGGTAGCATCTCTGGTTATCGAGCAACCAGCCAGACAAACAAACTCACCATCCCAGAACTGCTGCTCGTTCTCCAGGGAGACCTCAAACTCCATTTCCCACAGCTCGGTCGTCGTCGTCGTCGGACTAGTCGTCTCTCTGCAATCATCCCGTCTCGTGCCCGGAAACCTCTGGTTGGGAGGGCTGCTCCGTGCGAGGAGGCTGGAAACCACGAGGGAAAACTGGGGTACGGAGTACCAAGCGATAATGTTGATGACGACGAATGTGGCCAAGGCAAAGCGAACAAGGCGGGCGGCGGGGGATTTGCGGCGATCCACCGCTATCTTTGCCGGAGTGCTTTACTGTACTTCATGGTATGCAGAGCGCAGGATATCATACGATGTACGGCTTCTGATGAGAAGGTTTCCCCTTCGAGGTATGAAGAGGATTATAATTCAGGCTCATTACGACTACTCCTATTGTCATTTTCTCAATGCTTTCCTCGTAGATCGGGGTATCAGAGCCACCACGCTCATTATGATTCGTGATCGCTTTCATTTGGCAGTCTTCCAGCCATATATGTACACATTAAGTCAAACATTAAATGGGTGCAGTAATGGTAATGGACGAAGAAGAAAACATAACGAGGCGTGACAAGCCAGCCACTGGAAAGAAAATGTCATGTACTTTGGAGATGGTATCGATACTTCTACATCAAGAAAGGAATTCATATGAAGGGAAATATATACCTAAAAGGGCAAAAGGAAAGGCCGTTAATAGGCCGGACGTTTCAAAGGATGAGCTTCGGTGTTGCTGCGAGAAAAGTCAGTTATGCTACTAGCAAGAGTTGCTGGCGAGTACTTACAGAACATAGTCGTCAAGACTGACCACGCTCGGGTCGGCAAAAAGAAGATAGAAGTATTTCAGCGTCTCCGCAAGCCAGAATGACTCCATGGTGTCCCGCATCTTGGACTTTTCAAGCGTGACATCGTTGATAGCAGAATGTGCGATTTCGGTGCGGGTGTACTTGGACACAGCTTGGAACATCTCCCATCCCCTTTCTCTCCAGTAGTTGTCGCCTGTTATGCGGAACATGTAGAATACGGACTCGATGGCCTCCGGACGAAGGAGGTATGCACGGTTCAGAATGCGAGCAACGCCTGGCGGTAGGCGTTCGTTCATGATTCGCTGGGTGACAAATACTTCATGAGGGACAGCTTTATCCTTTGCATCTTGCTTCTTGACTTCATCTTCGTCATGGTTGATCAGGTCGTCCGTACTTGCCGAATCGGCAATGACGTGCCATTTTCCAGATGAATCACGCCTACGAATCCCGTTTGTAGTAGATCGCTTAGTCGGGTCGCTCGCTTTCGATTTCTGCTCGATGGCTTTTTCAGCCTCCGCGATCCGCTGTTCCTCGTTAGGATCGAGTGCGTTCCAATACTCGATCTCGTTCCAGACACACGGCTCGCCCTTTTTGCAGGGCACGAGCAAGAAGTGTTCGGGCATGATGCCTGTTTTGGTGACCCCATAAGCCCAAACACACGCATTGGTCAGTTTAGCAGCGAGGTCCAGGTCCCCTTCAATACCAAATAGTTTAGCGCCAAGAGCAAACATCCCACCCGCAAAGCAGCCCAGATGAGTTCCCTCGTACGTCGCAGAGGCACTGTCAGGGACCTGTTCCGCTATAGGGCGCGTCAGCGTCATGGTGCTTAAGAATCTGAGATCACGCTCGTCCTTGACCATGGGCTGAAAGAGGAGATGTTCGCGCGTTGCGTTCATGGCTTTCTTGTACATTGCGGGGTATTGCTCGTTGAGACCGCCCAAGAGCATATACTCCTTGGGAAGGTACTCATAGGTTGAATCGCCGCGGGCCCCGAGCCCAAACTTCTGTTTCGGGGAGGGCGGCGCGGCGAGACCTCCTGAGCAGGCCTTATCACCGGAGCTACTAGAAACTCCAGAATTCGCGCCTTCATTCGGGGCGTCATAGTTCGCCGGCTCCGCGTCGATATGTAAGCTACCACCATCGCGCCGATCAAAGAAGTTGGTGTAGCTCTGTGCGTCTGTAGGCAGCGGTCGTTCGTTTTGCGCTAGGGGAGGTGTATGTGTGGAAGAGGGCATAGGAGGGGTGGAAGGAGATGCGGAAGACGATGAGGGAGATGCAGAGGAGAATGCGGGCGTATGCAC